CACACACACACACACACACACACACACACACACACACACACACACACACACACACACACACTACTGACACAACCACACACACACATCTACATGAGGCAAATTAGAAAGGGTTTGAGACTTTATTTTGGACCTGATTTATTATTAGTAATGAAAAGCAGCTGATGTTCACAGAATACAGCAGTTTGTCTGTGAGGACTCGAACACACAGCTCTGGAGGTGTGGAGGAGAATATGTGATGTTCTTTACGATGTGAGATGAACGGCGTGTCGTCAGGTGTTTGTGACGCTCAGGCGTTTATGTTTGTGTGTGTGTTTCAGGCTGAAGTCTCCAGCTGAGCAGCGGGCCGAGATCTGTGAGGATTATTCGCCCTGTCGTCTGTTCGCGCTGCACTACGGATCACAGATGGCCTATCAAACGTATTTCAGCGCTCAGCAGCTCAAGCCCAACCCACATCTGCGTCGCTACTGAGCCCCGCCTCCACACTTGCATACGACCAATCAATCTCTTCTTTTAAATAATCACTGTCTGATCGATTAAGCCCAGACACCTATTCACAAATACATGTGCTTCTGTGCGTCATGGGTTTGCTACTAACATCCTCTTGCTCTCTGACGACGGGCCGGTCTGCCCAGATATTTACACAAAACTGACAACTTCACACATTCACAATTACTCAAATCTAAAATCATGACGGCGCCTGAATTTCTTGATAATCTGCATTTCTTAATAGCTACAAGAATGAGTAGTCAGATGACAATGTTCCCAGACAAGACATGAGTGGTTTTAAATGTGATGCAGCAGTAAATCTGATCACTTCATTTGTCCTTGTTTATTACAATTAAACTCCTGCAAACCTTCATCTGCTCGTTATTGGACATTATTTCATGTTCATCTGCTGACCTCGGTCAGTCGCTCTGGATCTCGTCAAGATCCACGTGTACAAGCGGTTTATTCTGAGCGGCCTGAACGCCGATCGCTGAAAACTTCTGCAGGTTTGTGGCCTCTGCGCTCGAAAGAGTCAGAACTCAGATGGTGAATAAATAGCAGCATGTCACGGCTGGAGAAGCAGAGCCAGTTCATCATAGTCCAGCATCTGAACCCTCGACACTCACTCACACACACACACACACATTCACACTCTCTCTCTCACACACACACACACACACACACACATTCATACTCACACACACACACACACACACACTCACTTTGTTGTTTTTGAAAACCTTTTTGTGTTCATTATTCTGTGTTCACAGCTGTGGTTTCCAGGCTCTGATTCCAGAAGAAACACTCAGTGTCCCTTAAAAGAGAGAGCGCTGCCACGTGAGTCATCTGGTATTTGTGGATTCAACTCTGTGTAAAGATCATGCACAGTATATATAGATATCATTAGTGTTGACATGCATAATTGAAGTGATAACTCCACCAGAACATCATGTCAGCTCCTCCATAGGAGAGAAATTCCCTGAGCCTGATCCAAATGAAATCTCCATCTGATAGACGGGTGCAGATGGCGAAGAATTAAATGTCACCACGTTTGGTAAAGTGAATGCGCAGTGTGACTCTCTCCCATCAGCCTTTGTTCCAAGCGTTTGTTCTGCCTACAATTGCACAATCATGTGGAAGCTTGTTTCTGCACGGGATGGAAAAAAAAAGAAAAAAAAGAATTGTAAGATAAAAAAACGAGATATACAGTACATAATTGTGAGGAAAAAAAAGTTGCCGTTACCTTTTTTATTTTTATTTATTCTGTGGAAGAAACAAGCTTCCTTACATTCCCACTGAACTCGAAGGCAGTGTGACATTTATCGATCACAAAGAAGGAACTGCTGTGCAATGAAAAATTTCAAAGATGGCTGGTAAAATGAGAGAAATGTCCATTATAAATATTAAAACTGAACTGCTGTATTATATCTTTATGAGTTGGAGTGTGAGGAACACTGTTCACACAGTGAGCTGCTGCCCGTTTCTCTCTAACTGTACACCAGTCGGCTCCGTAGGTTCTGGACCTGGTCTTACTGTTGTCTAATGTAAGCAGGATCTATGGTGTGGCTGACTGACAGCACCGTCTCTGTGCCGCTCGCTCCTGCAGGTGGAGGTGATATCTTGTCCTCGAGCTCTGCTACAGTTCGTGGCTCTGTTCTGCGTTGGGAGCCTCTCTGCCCCGCTGACCAATCAGATCCCTCTGTCTCTCTGTGCTGGCGAATCCACACGCAGAACTCTTACTGTGTCCCTGCCCCCAACGCCAGCCTCCACGGGACGAAACTGGTACGTGACCAACACACACACACACACACACACACACACACACACACTACACACACTCACACTCACTATAACACTTCACACATGCATTTTCATTCATTCATAAGCTATAATGGATGCAATAACATTTTAGTTCAAAAATGTAAGTGCCATTGTTTAAAAAACATGCTTTATTGACTAACGTTTCATAGACGTTCAGTTATGCTTTCAAATTTCATGCCACTGGTAGCCTCTGTAATTTCTTTGATTACTACACTACTTGTGCATTCACAGTTCTGTAATGATAGAGTTTACTCAGGCCGAAGAAATGGTTTTGTACGACGAGTCTAGCCTGTTTTCTCTGACATGATCTCCCCGCTGTACTTCAGGAATCATCACACTCTCGACCCAGTGTAGTATATGTGCAGACATATATCTGCTTATATGCAGCGTGGACATTATCTATATGGACACCTAATCAGTATTCTAAAAACCATCTTATCTATTATTTAATTAATGAAAGATCATGAGTAAGATTAAATAAGATCAAATCTGTCCATTAAGGGGAACCCAGATTTCACATTTCTTCAGCACCAAATACAAATGACTTCAACACAATGTATGGTTATAAAATATGACATTTATTCACATATATAAGAAAATAATTAAAAATGACTTGGCTTAAAGTAGGATATCATTACATTCTTTTCTTAGTACTGAAGTGTAGTTTGTACAGCTTCTCTTGATGCGTAAACAACAACTTCTCTCTTAACATCATGTTCTCTTCAGGTTGACCTGCAGGTTTACAGGGTTAGAATAATAACCTGAAACTAACCATCAAGGAACTATAAGTTATTTTAGGTTATTTAATAATAACCACGCAACGTTCTGGGAACATTACTGTATGGTTACAAAACATTATAACCGAAAAAGTTCTCCTGATGTTACCATTTGATTCCCAAAAAACTAGCGTTAAGGAAATATTCTGTGTTTGCTGGGTCTCTGTTGATCTTTATCTCTCAATGATTGTATGAACATATAAACCTGTGAAACAATATTGAAGTAGATTAGTCACGCTAGTCTAAACCTCGCCTGCTTTACTAAATGAAGCGAATGAAATATCAGACACTAGCGATGCGCGCGTTTGAAGCACCGCCTCGTGAAGCTTCGAAGCCTCTGCGAATCATTTGTTTCGAATCAGTGATTCAGAGCGCGAATCACACTGCCAGAGTCACGTGACTTCAGCGAACGAGGCTTGGTTACGTCACAACTCTTTCTTGATGTCAGTGGTGTGCTGTTGGGGGCGATGCTCTCTGTAAACCCGTGAGTCCAGCGAGTTCACTGAGACCAGAACAGCGTCTGAGGGGTTTACCTGATCTCGGATCAGTTTCAGCTATTTGTAGACCAGTTAACCAGTCGTTTGTGTGCTTAAAAGAACGAGAAGTGGCTGATAGTCTCTTACTGGCCTCTATATACAAGCTCTCCATAAAACAAACAAAACAAGACCTGCTCATTAATAATAATAATAATAATTATTATTATTTGTTTTAAATCACGTTTACAGACTCTTACTATTTAATGGCATTTTATTATTTTAATTGCATTTATTATATTAGACTTTCAAGAAAGTATTTGCAATGGGTTTGTAAAAGCTGTTTTTAAGCATGTTTTAGCCTGGGTTTTTGTTGCATTTACACACTTTTGACCATTCGAGCGCTTCGAAACACTGAATCATTTTGATTCGAAGCTTCGAAATGATTAATTTCTCTCATCACTGTCAGAAACCATAAACATAGAGTCAAGAAAGAGAAATACGATCGCAACATTCATATTAGATGAGAACGTTTAATAATAATAGCACATTCTTCGTTCGTCTGATCAGCTGAGCAACACGTTTTCTCTACATATCGTTCTTGTAACTGCGCGCTGCTGTCGATTTAAATAATAAAAGTCCGGAAGCGGAAGTGACGTGTGTTCAGGAGCAGTGGCGTGATTCTGCTCATTGCAGGGAAGATGGCTAGCGCTTTTGGACGCGTTTGTTGACGAGTGATAAACGTGAATATTAGACATCTGTTTAAGCGACTGAGGTGAGTTTGACTTGAACCGATTCTTCTCCCGCTGCATTAATATTCATATCATATCTGCGCGTGTGTTCAGTGTGTTCATGAAGCGCTGTTTTTACTGACCCACACAATCATAGAAGAGTGTTTGATATGCGCCAGTTTCTCATGATTAGCCATGTTTAGATCGTTTATTGTGCAGCATCTTCGTGAGATATTGACTGATGTTTAACTGTGTGTGTGTGTGTGTGTGTGTGTGTAGCCGCTGGCGTCTCTGTCTCTGGCAGACTCAGGGCTGGAGGGG